CCAAAAGGTTCCCCATCTCCAATGCCTCACCAGATGCTTTAAAGGATGCGCGCTCTGGGCTCGTTTCACTGAATCACTATTGGGCTTAGGAACCATGGGTGGTGTCTCCATGTTAGTCTTTGGACTGGCAGAAATAGCACTAGCATATCTCGTTGACATCTCTGCATTAGTCTTCTGACTCGAAGCAACACTAACCTTTACGCGGTTTCCTCTCAATGGGGAGCTGTTCTCTCTACTCCTAGCTTCCTCTTTCAAAACCGTTAACAAATTCTTCTCTGGTTTCAACTGCTTAGGCCTCTGATCCTCAAGTAACACTTTTGCTACTTCTAAATCATCAATCACCTTAGTGGAATTGCTGGTAATGCATTCTTCAACAAGAGGGTTATCAGCACACTCAAATCCTTCATCAGTTAAAGCTGTTTCAGTATCAGTGGCCTTCTGTTCGAAACCAACTTGGTCTCTGCTCTTACCAGTTGAATGCAAGCTATCTTTATCATTACTAGAAATGCTGCTGCTTCTGCTTTGAGCAGGTTGAACATGTCGATTATTGTAATTTGGCTTCTGGGAAGGGGGGCAAGCTATAGGATCAGATATAACCCGGTATTGTTCCACATAAGGTTGCAGATATGGATGCCTTAAGATCTCAGCTGCCTGATAAATTCATATAGCAACTAAAATTATCAGAGGAACTGAAAGTTTAAGGGAGAAAAGGAGAACTCTTTGGAAAAGATGGGCTTACACTAGGTCGATGCTCTGGATTCTTTCTTAACATGCTCTTGATGAGGGTCTTCCTGCAAATTTATACATTTCCGGGATTGTTATGAGTAAACCTCCCATCATCATCTACAAACTATTTCTATGCACTTTCAGATGACAAAAACAACAGATTCATAAAAACAACTTTCACATTTCTGAAAAAAATTTGCTTTAGTAGGCAAGGTATACAAATTCAGCAATGTTAAAGACAGTACACAAGCTTCCACGAGGTTAAATTAGACTTATATTTACTTCTTCAAGAACTTCGACAAAGAAACAACACTGCTCTTACTCATACTTACAAGGAAGAGGAGTAGCATGCAGGCAAAGGACCAATGGAAGAACGGTTTATCTTACTAATCAATCCGGCCATATCCTGAATTGAATAGAACAGTCAGAAGAAGATCCAGCAAAGGAGGCCATTAACTTGTCATGTAATTTTCCTGTTAAAAATATTTATATCGTTCTCTCAAATTACTTTGAAACTAGTCCTTGTTAACACTATTCTGACATTTATGCAAACTTTATATCCTATATTAAAAGACTTAGGATTGATATTCCAGTGAGCCTTCATGTTATTTTCATATTTTTCATTTATCGAGAGATTTTTTTCTGTACTTTCTACTTAATACTAAATAACCAAGATGAGAAATATGACATGTACAGTGAGCTCAATTTGCCATGTTAATGAACAGATTTTCTGGAAGCAAACTTTGACTTCTAATGATTGTTCATTAAACAATTAAGAACGTATGAGATTCTATCATAGCATATACAAGATACAAGTAGGGAATGGGTAAAGAATAAGATTCTGGCTAGAACTTTGGCTGGGATCAAACACCTTGTCCAGGCATTATCCAATACTCAAAGCAATAGCAAAAAATATAGAACACCACACAACCGAGGTGGGGGAAAGAATTGGAGGATCAATAGTGCAGACTCCCACCATTAGGAGCAATCTAAGTTACAAAAAAATAAAATGGCTGCAGGAGATCTTACAAAGTTTAGAAACTCCAAGTATGGGTACTTAGTACAAGCCCTGCCCATTTTGCCCCCTCAAATTCAGGCTTTTTGTTGGCTGATTATCTTGGAAAGAGTACTTACAATCAACTATTTGCAAAGCACAGGGCTGCCCATCTCAAAGAGATGTGTGATGTGAAAAGAAAATACAGAATTGGACCCACAAGTGTTCCTACATTTTAATGTAAATGCACATACCTGGTCCTATTTACTTTATCCCTTTGAGCTCATTTGGGTCACTCCCACTTCTTTGGAAGACATTATCAAACAACGGTATTGCCCCCCACTTCCAAAACAAGGTCATCTGATCATCTCCTCTGGCACTTCACTGTTCTAGCAATCATGTGGTCTGTGAGGATGGAGCGAAATAAGACGAATTCTCGTTGCATTTTTTTACACCTTGAAAATCGAATGGTGCAAAAACTTTGGTTACTCTGTGGCACCTTAACTAGTATAGAGTTATGGGGTAACAGCCACAGACAAACACCAAAAGTAGACCGCCGTAATAAGGTCAGCAACTAACAAAAGAAACAGAGGTCAAACTGAGTTCCATCACCAAATGGGACCCTAAAGCTGAACTTTGATGGAAGCTCTAGTGGCGAACCAAGATCAGCAGGCATTGAAGGTATAATAAGGGTTTTCAAGTCTATCACCATACTAACATTTGCAGGTTTAGTAGCCGCTTGCGATGCCAACTAAGCAAAGACAAGCGCAATTTTGTCGGGTATTTGACCGTACTGGCCAGATTGGGGACCGGTGGCAGCACAGGGAGACTCTAGGAATTTCATGGGGCGTAAATGTGGAAAAGGGTATGAGAATACTACACAAAATTCTAGCAGAGATAGAGGACTTAAGTCCAATTCACAGTCAGCCTCAATCACATCAGACGAGAAGGAAAGGTTGCTGACATGTCAGCAAGAGAAGGGAGATCAAGGACAGATACAAGAGTACACTGGATTAGGAACCCAACTGTTTGGTAATACACCTATCCCAAGCACTGAGGTCTAGAAAATGTTCGATATTTGCCCTTCCATTGGCACATCCATCAACCAGCCAGTGTCCAAAGTGCCAGGCAGTACCTAGGCAGCTGGGGTGGGGGTCCAGGGCAACTAGCGTCTAGGCGGCTGCCTAGAACCTGGGACGGTGCAGGTAGAATAAAAAACATAGGAAGTTTTCTGATCCTATTGTTTTAGGGTTAAAAGCATAGGAGGTTTTTTGATCCAAGAGTTTTAGGGTTAGATTTTGTGTGAAAACTAGAAAATGCATATTGAGGGGGCATATGATACATTAAGAATACATAATATACAGTCGATTCATAGCCCATTACTCCATAATTTCATACATTTGAAAGTTCAAAGTTCACACTTCAAACAATTAGACATTATACCAGATTTCATATTCCAAGCAGGATCAATATGCCATCTGATGCAATTTTATCTAAATGATTCGGGTTATAGCCATATTTTCAACTTGGATCACCACTTCTATTAGATCCTGAAGAAAGCATCTCAAATTAATCTAAGAAAATCTAAAAAACTAATTTTTTTATTAACCTTGATTGCTTAATCTTCAAATTTCCACCTTTGATATTTTTCTATTCTTAAAACCTTCTAAAAAACCCTCTAATAATTCTAAAAAATCTCCAAAAGTAAATATAAACTCAAAGGGTGATGTTTGGATCGATTTCTCAAAACTTTGAGAAATTCTTTGATCTTAAGGAAATCACAAAATCCCAATTTTTTTGAATTTTTTCTCTCTAAAATGGTTCAAATGTGGTTTAGGTTGCATATGAACCTAAACCCCCTTTTTTAGAAGCTTAAATATATATATATATATAATAAAAAAAAAACTGAAATGCCCCTAGGCGGGGCGCAGGCCCTGGGCGGCCGCTGGGTGCCCGCCTAAGTCAAGGTCCCAAGCGCTTAGGCAGCTGCCCAGGGACCCCTCACCTAGGATGCCCGCCTAGGCACTAAGCAGGTTCGCTTTTTAAAACACTGCAACCAGCATTTTTGCAACACACAATGTGTGTTCTCCGTACCTCAATGCAGAAGCACATTTTTTCTAATTCCTTATACAATCAATTAAAATTTTGCTAGTTTCAAAAAAAAATTCAATTAAAATTTTGCTACTAATAAAAAATAATAGGTTTGAGATTCTATAATTCACTAATAGGAAACAGAGTTCCCTGACCTGTAAAGATGCACAATTGCTACCAGATTCTCTAGGAAGACACATAGAAAGCTGATAGGTTCCTATCTTATGATAGTCCAACTGCTTCAAGATAAGATGCTCTTTCCTATCCTCCTCGTAGTATTTTGCTGCAGCATTTTTTGAGACACTAACAAGAATAAGGGATATAGGGGATCTGTATACTGTTGTTCAATTTTCCTGTCTGATACATGCTAGTGTATGTTGGTTATCGCTTTTTTGACTTGGTCATGTGAAGCTAAAAGTGATATCAAATTGAGAAAAAATCCAATCGTGATGATTCCAAATACATGATTGGAATAATATAAACCAAAATGTAGGCTCAGAAGGAATGGGCACTTCCACTCTAGTGCTCCAATTTACAGAATTGTGCACAAGGCCTAGTTTAATCATATCATGGATGTGAAATCCCAATGCAAGTTATTTAGTAGTACAACAAGAATTATACAACAACATAATAGGGTTCTAAGTTAAAAAGTTTCAGTTAGTAGAAGCAGGTAGAAGTAAAATTCTTACAAAAGCTTTGAAAGCCGGACGATGGGCAGTGATCTCATACATGCAACAACCTGTTGAAGCACCAGTGAGTGAGAAGCACACACCCTAAATTTAGCAAAGATTCCAAACTATGGAAGAGCATTAAAGTACAAAGATAAACCTGTAACGAACCTAGAGACCATATATCTGACTTGAAACCATAAGGAATATCTGCCAGAAGCTCCGGACACATGTAGTTGGGAGTGCCCACCACCTTTAGCATACAGACAGTGCATAAGCATCTATTAGTTTACCTAAATAAGTAAATTCCTGTTTTCTTGTCTTCAACTAAATTGACCCACTTTTATAAAACTGAATATGGGCAATAGAATCAAATATTAACAGGAGCCAGGAGAAAGAAAAAGTATCAAAAGTCAATTTTCCTCCATGCTTCTTTTAAAACTAACCATCAGGTAGATATATGCCTTAAAAACTAACTACTCAGGTAGATATTTCTACCTTTCTCAAGAAATTAGACATATGCCACACTAATTGTTTGCTGAAAACTCTTGCATGTTTCCATCCAAACTTTGGAGTACTTTTTCTTTTTCTTCCGAGAGATCATTTTACATTCACAGGCTGTTGGAAAGTCTGCATATGGAGAAGAAAGCTGATCTGAAAAGACCGCCTGTTAAATTGGATTGTAATATCCAAGATGGTGAATTAGGCCTAAAAAAATCACATCCCCATTCCAAGGGTTGATGCATTTGTGAAATCTGACATAACGTTCAAGGGCTGAATGGACCGTTTTAAATATTTTGTAGTGTTGGAGTATCTTTAGTAGTGTAACAATCCGAGTTTGTTCTCTCAGCTTTTTGCACAAATCAATGGCATTCAAAGGAAGCATTCTTTGAATTACAATGTGGATTAATTTTTTATGGTAACGAAAAGGTATGTAGTTCATCAAGCTACATGCTACTGAATGGAATGAGCATATACATACACATAAAGCAATAATAAATAGCACCCATGAGTAACAATTGAAATTTCCTTCCAGATGTTCCCTAGACCTGGTTTCTGTTGCACCAATCAATTCTTATAAGTTACAACAATTTACTTGAAATAAGAATTGTAGTCCCTGTATGCAAATGCAATTTATGCATGCTAGGACAATTTATGCTGTGAACTCTTCAAAATGGGCCATATTGTTATCATACACCATGATCAAACATCCATGTTTATCTCAGCCCTACCATTCAATTGCACATATTGTTCGCACTCGATCAAACCTTACGTTAGACAACTACATCGGATTAGCAGTTATTCGTTTTATGACATTACACTTCTACCATCTTTCAAAAGGAATAGCATACCTATCTCAAGGATCAAAAGAAGAGAGAGAGAGACAGGAGAGAGAAATGAAATGATATGATCATTATAAGCATAAAAAACATACCGAAGAAGCCAGATCATCTGCCTTCAGTGTTTTAGCAAGTCCAAAATCACCTGCATAGAATCACCAATGTTGGACAAAACTATCTATTCAAATGGTAAGAACATATGAAGGTGGAGTCAGACATTCAAACCTCCACAGTCATAGTCACAAAGGAAACATAGATGATACAAACTCATGCAATAAGACTTATTTGAACCTTTGAGAAACACGTACCAAGCCGAACATCCTGGTCCTTGGTGAGAAAAATATTTGAACACTACAAGACAAGCAGTAAACGAGATTAGTCTATACCACCTAAGACACAAGATTTAAACCTACTAATACATGTCTCCAGCGAAATCAACCAATATCTATCTGTTTCTTCTTTTATAGTTACCAAAATTTATCCATTCAAGCAAGCAAATGAAGTCAGTCAAGTTTTGACTGTGAACATACATACAAACACACAAGCACACAGATAGCGGGACAAATTTAAGGTTTTTTTTCTTTTCTTTAAAGTTTTTTTTTCTTTTCTTTCTAAGGTAAAATCTTTTTAACTTTTGAACAAACCTTGAGGTCTCGATGTAGAACAAAGTTGGAATGCAAGTATTCCACAGCCAATAATAGTTGCGTGAACCATTTGCACAGTTTCTGAGCAATGACAGCATCAGCTCCAATATCAAAAATTAATGTCCGAAATTTAGAAATATATAGCAGCAACCAAAACTTTTAAACGAAAGGAAGCACACCTCCTCAGGGAACAATGTCCCATTTGATCTTTTCATCAGCTCAGACCTGTAGAGGAAACAAATAGACTTCACAATAGATTATTTGTCTTAGGTAAGCTAAAAAAGTTTTTGAATATAGCACTCACATATCTCCCCCTTCACAATATCCTGTCACGATACATACATAACAGCCCTACAAAATGTAAAAGCCTGTAAGCTTGTGAAAGAAAAGATCAGAGAACTGATTGTTATAAAAAAAAAGGAATTAATTAACAACAGAAGGAATACATTTTTGTTCCATTCCATATTTTGTCATTATGTGAACAAAATATACATGTATTCATGTAGAATGAAAATGCAATGCTTGCTACATTGGAGTCACCACATGCAATATTTTGGATCATTGCTTCCACAGGTTCGCGACGGCTACACATCCAATCGTTTATGAGGGCTTCCCAACATCAAAGCACCCATTTTAGAGGGCTTTGCTAGGACTGTTCAACCATTCAAATAGATCTATTAAAGTGATTGCTAGCTCTAAAATTCAATATTTCGGATGTTTGATTTTTAAGTGCCTATATTTGCAATTACAATAGTTGTGTGCGTGTGTGTTCGCAACATATGTGAGTTAGAGACAGAGAGAGGGAGGGGGGGTGGTTCCTTTGGTCATTGCAAACTATGTATTTTCTTACACACTTGATTTAGCCAAAAGACCAACAACCGTTGTGTATTTCTCACCATAACATGAGATGGTAATATTTAGCTTGCCAAAGAGGTTACAAAAGCTGTCAAAGTTACTGATAATCCAAAACACGAAGAAAAGACTAACAGCCCGAACCTTCTCGACCCATGCTTCCTTGAACTCCACTATGTAAGGGTGTTGAATGCGAGCAATAAGAGCCATCTGTTTTTGTTACGCCATCATCAATTAAATTATAACATGACATAATCCACTATAAGAAATTTTCCTTTATTGTTCTCTATTATAAGAAAATAAATATCAATATTGATTTATTCAAAAGCACTAGAGTGTCAGAGGACCAAAATACTTTACCTCTTGGTGTGCGGACCTCCTGCAGCGATCAGTCTGCCTTGCCAGACGAATCTTCTTTAGAACATACCTGTAAACCCAAGATCTTTGATATTACAAACTAAACTATTCATTTTCTTTTTAAATTATAACAGCTGTAAAAGCAAAACAAAGATCTTAATGCAATTGCTCCCGTCCTTTTTGAGGTTTATGAAGGATAGAAAAGAAAAAAAAAAAAAAAAGTGTGCAAATGCAGAAAGAAGCATTCCGCGACTGGCCCTATGGGCGAGGCTGAGTAGGGACGAGTTCCAAGGCAACTCACCCCACCCTTATTAAGGATGGAAAAAAATAGAATATAGAAAAATGTAAAAAATCGAAAACACCACCATATTACTTACAATTAGTTTTATGGGTGATTTTGATAATTTTTTTTATGGTGATTTAAGAACTTTCACATTTTTCCCCTTTTTTAAATTTTCCTGAAATATTCAAGATCTAAATCAAAATTTTCAATAATCCATCTTTAATAGATTTTTCCCATCTTTTAGACCTCTAATGATTTCTATTACCTTATGTTTATTCTTATTTTAATTATTCTCATTTTTTCTTTTTACTGCTTTTTCAGCCTATTTTTGGGTTAGGACTTGGGCGACTCGAGTTTACGAACAGTGGTAGAAAAGGAGACTAACCACAGAATTCAGGAAACGCAGAAGTTTGCAGAATGGTAGAGGAGAGAGTAAGAAGCACAAGACTCTCAATGAAAGTCCAAAATTTTACTAAGATTACATTTTGAAAGAGAGTGAAGAGCCCATTTTGCAATCAAACTCGCAAAATTTTAAAAAGTTACAAGGAATTGGTGAAGCAATCTGTAAATAATGAGTGAAGAAGAACTTGTTTTCCCATCTCCATGTCTAATAGACGATAATCTCTGAAATGCATACACTGAACATAAAACGTTAAAGCCAAAAAATTGAAGAACAAAAAAAAAAGAAAAAAGGAGGATTTTATTTTAGTTATATGAGTGAAATTTACAAAATCCCATATCTTTCAGGTAATCAAACAAAAATGCAGGAAAGCCTTTGAGATTATCATTCACTCTCATCGATCCCATCCCAGTGTTTGACATGAACCGCAAAAATTACAGAAAAAACAAAAACAATAAATAAAGTAAGCAATAAAAGAGGAGAGCAATAAGCGCTTACTTCTTCCTCTCTATCTTGTGATTCACGAGAATCGCAGCTCCAAATGCTCCTCTCCCGATCTGCTCCATTAATTCATACTGATCCATACTCGACTCCGTAATGTAGATCCACAAAGCCAAACAGAATGGTGATCTCTTCCAAAAAAAAGGCACTAAAAAAGGGCTCTTATATTCCCATTTGTAACAGAGTTTTCAAGGTCAAAACCTCCTCAAAAAAAAGCACGGGAAAGCTCCTGGCCCGCCATTTTCTAAACTTCAAGGCTTGAATCTTAGATCCAAAGCAAAAAAGGGGAATAATGAGTGAGAAGAAGCTTCCTACTCCGCCATTGTTGCAGAGATTCTAGGGTTTATAGTACAGATATCACTACGTGTGTACTCTCTGCAACTGACTTTGCTTTTCTGGTGTGTTTTGGAAGAAGAGTATCTGAGTTTCTGGTTATGGAGGTTAACCAGGATGGTTTAACCATGGTTAACTCAGGTATGTTTGATGTGGTTGGCTCATGGCCATGCTTCGTTATACGCCGACAGGTCCAGCTCATACCATCTCAATCCCGTTTACTTCCGCCTCCGATTCTACAAAATACAGTCAACTCCTCAATTTCATCGGGGAATTCTTATTTTCAAGTATGCTATGCTCCCTCGGGCGTATAGTTTATTTCTACTCCCTCAATCCTAAAACTTACTAAAAGACGATTTTTTTAATTTAAAATTTTGGGAACGGCTTAAGCAACCATTCTCAAAAGAAAATTTTGAAATTTGAGTTTTCTAATACTTACCATCTAAAAACTGGATGATCTTAAGCATCGGTGACCATTCTCAAAAGAAAATTTTGAAATTTGAGCTTACCATCTAAAAATTGGATGATTTCTATTTAATTTTGAAACATTATTTTTAAAAAAAATGTTACAATTGGGATTTTTTTTTTTATAAGATTAATCTATGGGTTTAAGAGGTTACATCTCCAAAATGTGGGATCTTAAAATTAATTATGAGTTTTACCCGAGGGAATAAATATAGAGTTTACTCATGCAGGAGTATAATATCTTTTGGCTTTTTAGTTTATTATAAAGATTTTTATTTATTTAACATTGTGCTGTATAGGGAAAATATTACTCTAGGTTGTATAGGGAAAATATTACTCTAGGCTTCCACGGCGCCTAAAATTTTAAGATGTAATTTCCAAAATGCTAGTCTTAAAAATAAAAGAAATTTTATAATGTACTAAGTACAACGTGTGAGCCCCTTAACATAACTACTCTAACGTAACTTTTATATATGAGAAATGATCCTATAGGACTCTCTCCTACCCATGTGTGTATGACCTATTAAATTTGGCATGAATATCTAAAAAAATCAAGTTCCACACCCATGTGATAACTTTTTTAGAGATTTGTGCTAAACTTAATGGTGATCTTTTAAGGTCCTATACACACGAGTGGGAGAGGGCCCTAAAAAATCATTACTCTTTATATATATATATATAAAAGTTTATATAAGGTTGTAATCTTAAGATTCACATTATAGATCATTTTATAATTGTACTCAACAAATTTTGGATATTTATATACTCTTGTTTTGTAATACAATATTTTTTAGTAAGTGTATTTTTTGTCATTAAGAGGAGTGACATAATTCACATGGAGTGTGACATCACCGATATTGAGCACATTGTGGCATTCAGTTGTAGAAGAGAATGTCTAGCATTAAGAATTAAAAATTTAAGTCTTTTGTTAGTAATGATCCGGTGATTAATACGTAGATCTCAAAATTTTAAGTTTTATTACATTTAGGTACAGTCTAACAAAAATTATAAAAATGCCTAAATTGTCCCCTGATTTATTTTTGGAAGCTTGAACAAGTTTACGTGCTTTGGTAATTTAAGCCCCTTTAAGTGGTCCGAGCCGAATGATTATATATCCCACTTGTTCATGTTTTTTGAATCTATAACATGGTATCACATTAAAATCTCTATCATATAAAAACTCTTTTGTTTAGTGTTTACTAAAATGGAAGAAGCAAGGGTATTTATACCATTTTGCTAGGGGTGTCAATGGGTCGGATCGGCCCGGAACCGACCTGAGAAGGTCCCACATGGACCTAGACGTGACATGGATCCATGTGACTTGGACCCAAACCCGACCCGGCACAAGTCATTTGGACCTGAATCGGACCCAGACCCAGACCCAGACTCTGGTCTAGAAATTAAAAAGCTAAAAAAGTTATTTTTGTATTGTAACCTTTTTTTTATATATTTTATATGAATCTAAAAACTTATTTTTTGTACCGTATCCTATTTTTTTATATTTTATATAGAGCTAAAAAAATTATTTTTTGTATTGCAACCTATTTTTTTATTTGTTTTTATATTTTATACCTGGTCGGGTCTGATCAGGACCCGACCGACACGATAGGGGTCCAGCCAGACCCGGCCCCTATTCGGGTCGGATCCAAATCATTTGGATCGGGCCCCGACTCGCCGAGTCCAAAACTTGGATCTCGATCCAGACCCAAACTAGGTTTGGGTAGACCTGTCGGGTTAGCGGGCCGACCCAACCCGATTGGCACCCCTACATTTTGCACAAGCCAAGATGGCAAAAGTCAAAAGACCAATGAATTCGCTCATGCTTAGGAAACCCAAAATGAAATTTTCATTAGAAATGCTTGTTCTAAGAAAGGGTGTTATCATGAATGTTCTTCAATTGAGAGGCTCGAGCAACATGATATTGTTACCCCTCTTTGTTCAATGTCAGCAACATGGAATTCAAAAGTTTGAACAGGTAGCGTTACTAATGTTGTTTGGCGTGTTCCGGGCCCAAATTGGCGAAATAACCCTATTTGATTAGGTTTCAAAAAATTGAACAGGGCTATTTTGGATATTTTGAAGTAACTTTTCAAGAGATGCTCGAGTGTAGTCATTCTAATAGCATATTGGATGATTTATCATCTTAATGACTTTGTAATTGTTTTTACTATTGAAGTAATATTGTACCTAAATTATACAAAAACATTGAATGATTTCCCACCTTAATGATTTTGTATGTGTTTTGACTATTGAAGCAATATTTTACCTAAATTATACAAAAACATTCAATACTAGTATCTTAATTGAGTGCAGGTGTTATGCCCCAATTGTGAAAACTTACATTTACTGCATTAGGCATATTATTTGGAGGTTGTTTTTTCTTATATAAAATTTTATAAAATCAACATTAGAATCACCATATATAATTATTTTTAAAGAAAAGAGAAAAAAATAATTTGAGTATTTACATGCCTAGATTTTACCATCTGATATTCGGATGGCCTATTGGGTTCCTATAAGTACTCCATACAATCTTGAAAATTATTATTGAAATATTAATCAATATAAGGTGGTGGTAAACTTGTCATTTTATTTCAAGCACATGCTCGTCTATTTCATTAAAAAAGTGCCCAAAAATGCATATGTTCTAGTTTTAGAATCCTAAAAAAGTATAGCATTTTGGAAAACACCATGAACGTGGCCCAAACTAAATGACAAATGCTTGTCTCAAGTTCAAAATTGGGAACATTTTACTTCACTAAAAGCCCTTCTTCTAGGTTTCGAACCCAAAACATAATTTCCTAAGTGGTCCAACATAGGTGGCTCGAGCCAAATGATGAAACTTCCCCATGTGTTATGGCTTCCAAAGCTTAAATATATTTGCTTCCATTAAAATCTCTAGTTCTAGATTTAGAATCTAAAACAAACAAAGGCATTTTGGTAATATGTCATGAGTAATACTAAAATACCCCTGTTATTTTGGATTTCAAACTTAGAATTGCATTTTTGGTATTTAGGACAAAGTAATTGAGGGGGCACTTCTCATTAAAGAAATCGCTTTATTAATAATTTGATTTTTTTTTTTCCGATCACCTAAGTGATTTTTTAATATTGTTAGACCATTTTAATTTTGAGGGAAAATATTATTTAAGGGGTCAAAACCCCTTACAAATCATTAATGGGGCCAAAAGATCTCAATTTATGTCTGAGGGTAAATTTCATCTTCGTTTTGATACCTTTTCAAAAAAATGTCTAAAAAAATACCCAAATAGCCTCTGTTCATGTTTGAAAACCCTGATCAAGCTGGGGATTTTAGTCATTTGACCAACTTAAGAGGCCTCAACCGAATGATAGGTTTATCTGAATACTTTAAAAAATTACAAGTTTAATTTGCATATTTTCAAGGATATTTTTAGGAGGTTCCAAAGTGAAATAACAATTAAAAAATATTTGAATCCCTTAATGTTTTGTAAAGAGTTTTGACCAGTTCAACAATATTTTTCCTAATTTTAATGGTACTTTTGCATAATATATTCATATTTCGATTTTATCTTAAGCCATAATCATATAAAAGTGGCCACTATGTAAGGTTCAAATAATAGTATAAAAAAACATAATCGAGCATCTCTATTTGTATTTGTGAGTATTTACAGAGGAAAGACAGATGTTTCATTAAAAAAATTAATAGAAACATACAGTAAAAAAGGGAAAAAGGAAGAAAAATGAAAAACGTGATGGAAAAACAAATAATTCTTGAGATATATTTGAAATTGTGAATTATTTTTATTTATTATTTATTTATTTCAAAACTAATTATCGTTATAGCACTTTAAAAGTACTGGTTGCTACATTTGTCATTTTTATTATTTTCCTTATATGAATGTTCATTTTCGAGAATTATTATATGAATAGAACCTGAGATCTGATATCAAGCGTGAGGCTATTTTGTAACAACCATTCATGGAGAAAAAAAAGGTCGTGTTTACCTATATCCTCTATTTCTCAATGCCATCTTATATTTTTTTATAGAAAATACTAACTTTTATTCATCAAGGAGGAAAACATACAAAAGAGAGAAATGAAACTTAATTAAATTAAATCGTTAACCACCAAAAGATATGATTGAGTAGCACACACATAGAAAGGGATTCAACAGCATCATTGGCCTCTCTATGAATATGTCTGAAAGAAATTGTCAAGGAACTATCCGGATTCTAAATCTGAAGCCAAAAAGGTCTCAAAGTCCAAAGAATTTGTTCCTTAAGGCATCATTTGATAATATTTAAAAAACATTTTTTCACATCTAAACACAATCCAACATTGCGGCTCATTGAAAATTTCCATGCCTTGCAACAAAACACATAGCGCTGTTTGGTTAGCCGTAGCTCTGCTTGGTTAGCCATAGTAAAGCCACTCAGTCTTGAGAAAGAGAAAATAATATGGTCCTCATAATCCTTGATCAATCCCCTACCCCTACCCCTACCCCTACCGAACTTGGATTGCAAATGAGCTCCCATCGAAATTCAATTTATAGACACCTAATGGTGGAGATTTCCATATCCCCCTTTGTTATATACTTAAGCACCTTCATATGAACTATATTATCTAAGTTCACCTTAAAATCTACCTTAGAGATACCCAACATTCCTTTAAAACTAAGATCCAACTAAATAAGGATTCTTCAATAGCACCTTTAATCATCACACATTCTTTAAAAGGCCATCAAATACTCTTATTATC